TGGCCATTTGTATATCTTCTTTGTAGAAATTTCTATTCAAGACCTTTGCCCGTTTTTAAATCAGGTTCTTGTATATATTCTAGATACTAGATTCTTATCAGATATATGATTTCCAAATATATTCTCCCATTCTGTAGTTGTCTTTTCACTTCCATGAAAACATACTTTGATGCTCAAAAGTTTTTCATTTTAATTAAGTCCAGTTTATCTATTTTTTTCTTTTGATGCTCACGCTTTTGGTGTCATACCTAAGAATCTATTGCCAGACTCAAGGTCATAAAGATTTACTTCTATATTTTCTTCTAAGAGATTTATGGTAATTTTTACTTTTATATTTACGTTGATCCATTTTGAGTTTATTTTTGTATACTGTGTGAAGTATGGGGTCTAAATTCTTTTTTTTCCCATGTGAAAATCCAGTTTTCCTATCACGGTTTGTTGAAGAGACTATTTTCCCTCCACTGAATGGCCTTTGTACTCTTTTTAAAAATCAATTGACCATAGATGTATAGGTTTATTTATGTACTTTCAATTCTATTCCATTGTTCTATATACATTATCCTTATGTCAAAACTACAATGTTTTGATTACTATGGCTTTGGACCAAGTTTTGAATCAAGAAGTATTGAGTCCTTCAACTTTGCTTCTGTAGCAGTAATTGTCTTCACAGGCCGGTCAATGATGAACTATATCAAATTTCCTAGTACTGAAACATTTGTGGATTTTTGTTGTTGTTAATCCTCACCCGAGGACATATATTTTTTTAATAATATGACCCTATTTTATTTATTTTTTTCAATCCTCCGCCGAGGACATTTTTCTATTTATCTTCAGAAACAGTGGGAGGGAGGGAGAGAGAGAAACATCGATGTGAGAGACACACCGACTGGTTGCCTCCCACACACCCATGAACAGGGCTGGAGACCAACTGCAACTGAGGTACGTGCCCTTGATCAGAACTGAACCCAAGACTCATTGGTCCATGGGCTGACACTCTAACCACTAAGAAAACTGGTCAGGGCCACCTGAGGATATTTTTCTGTGCTTTCTTTTTTCTTTATTAAGGTTCATTTATAGTACTACCTCTAAGTCACTTAATCTCTATTTCCATTTTATATTAATAAAAAATGAGAAAGTATACTTTATAATCTCTGAGTCACCTTTAGGTGCTGAGAAATGAATACAGGTTTCCAAGGAATTTTATTCTATCATCTTGATCAATTTATGCCAACAACACAAAGCGGGGGGGGGGGGGGGGCAGACTTGGTGGAAAGACTAGAACAAAAATATCTCCTATATGGACTGATTCTTAGCTGCATAATCTATTTTAGAAATGTGGAGATGGAAATTAGCACTGTGTCTTATTAGACTATGAGAAAAACAAGCCCATTGAAATAAACATTATTAAAGAGGTCTCTTTTCTTCTCTGAGACACTCTCTCTGAAGAATTGCAGCTGATTTATGCTTTAATGGCTAAAATATTTGACACTGGGACTTCTTTTGTCTGTATGTCTTTTCTAAACTCCCTCTGAGTAAGGGACTTTATTCACAAAAAATGTACTTTAGAAAAACTATTATGTGGAATTTCATTCTTGGATGAATTGAGTCATTTTTCCTTTTCTTGAAAAAAATTTTAAAAAGTAGATTTTACCCATTTTGGTAATATTACCCATGAAAAGAAATGCAGAGCTCTTATGTGAGAGAATGTACAATAAGAAGTACTCAATATTAACAAAAAGTAACATAACAATCATTAATTTATAAGATGCTATAAGGCAGATATTATCACTTATACATAGCCTATGTTATATAGCAAATATAGGATGCAGATGTGCTGAACACATCAAAACTTGTTTAGGGCCTTTAATAAAAGACAAGTAGTAAAATCAAACTGAAGTGGGCTATTCTTTAAGTATAAATCTGGAGTATAATTACATTTGAACAAGTCATCTGATGTAAGTGTATGTAATAAATCTAATCACATAAGTTTAAAGCTAAAAATAAAGAGATCCAAAATCTGCATCTTTCAAAAGTGATAATAGGTGTCAAAAAAGTTAAGTGATTTAAACAAGGTCACATAACTAGCAAATTAACAAAACCAGGAACAGAACTTTGATCTTTTGATTTCTAGTTGTGTGTTCTTTCAGTTATCTCACTATCTTCTTTCAACTACCTCACATTACTTCTGCAACTCTCCTATTTAAGTAATGATTTATAGTTTACTGCTCTTATGTACATTAAGCTAAGGGAGGTTGGTGTGACCAATGCATAAGTCTTCAGACACTCAACATCTACCAAAAGTTTCTAGTTCCTATTCAAAAGAAGATATTTAACTTGTAGTCCTAAAAATTCAATTAGGGAAAAAAACCCAAGATAAAAAGAAACACAGATGTGGAGAAAACTCCAGTCCTCAGTTGGCATTTAACCAATAAAAGTAATAGCAGCATTTACTGTGCACTCACTATGTGACAGGCAGTGGGCAGGAAGCAGGTAAGTGACATTACCACATCTGCAATTTAGAAAGATCACTATTACAGTACTAATATAATAGTTTGGGAATGGCAACAAGATCAGGAAGAAGAAAAATAATCAAGAGTTCTTGTAATGGTCTAAGAGAGAGGGAAAAAAAAAAGCATCAGGAGCTGATTAAAGCAGTGTGGGTGGCAGCCACTCGATGTGTCCCTTTCACGTTGATGTTTCTCTCTCTCTCTTTCCCTCCTACTCTATCTGAACAAAATATCAAAAAATGTCCTGTGTGAGGATAAAAAAAATAAAAATAAAAAGCATTTATCTCAATTTGTAATCATATATTATTAATACGAATATCTCATTAAAGTCTGTCTCCCAAACAAGGAGGTCATATATTCCACAAGGGCAAGAACTATGTCTTTTTTCCTTACTTAGCATGTCTAGCACATAACAGGTATTCAAAAAAATCTAATGAATACAGATCTACCTTATTCTTTTTTGATAGCAGTAAAGAATCCCACTTAATATTAATAGGTGCCTTAATTTCTTTATCCAATCCTAAAGTGATAGATATTTGTTTCCAGATTTTTATTATTACAAACAATGCCAGGATGATCACTTATACCAGTATATCTTAAATGTAATTCTTAAATGTAAAATAACATGCTGGTTAAATGAAAAGTGCATTTATTTTATTTTGTTTTTTGGTTCATGCCCCTAGAGGGAACCGAGCCCGGGACTCTCTGGTCCACAGGCCGATGCTCCAACTGCTGAGCCAAACTGGCCAGGGTGAAAAGTGCATTTAAAAGTTTTAACTGCCCTGGCCGGTTTGGCTCAACAGTTAGAGTGTCGGCCCGCGGACCAGAGAGTCCCAGGTTCAGTTCCTGCTAAGGGCAGGTACCTCAGTTGCAGTTTGTCCTCCTCTCACATCGATGTTTCTCTCTCTCTCTTCCTCCCTCTCTCCCTCACGCTCTATCTGAAGGTAAATGCAAAAGTGTCCTCGGGTGAGGATAAAAAATTTTTTTAAAGTTTTGACTGATTACAAATTGTTCTCCTAAGGGGTTGTAGTTTATACTCTGAGTAACCAACAGTGTGTAACAGTGCTCACTTCCACATACTTAATACTCAACTTTTATAATCAAAACGTATCAACTTCTTGGTGGGAGTGGGGGCAGGAGGGGGGAGTAGTAGAGAAGAGTGTTGGTTTTTATGTTTACGTTAGGTGTTTTTTTTTCTTTTCATATTATACTAAACATTAAAATTTAAAATGTTTATTATTCCTATAAAGGAAATTTCAGAAAATAAGTTAAGTAAACAAAGCTAAATGATTAGAAAAATGCTGTTACTGACACTGTGGAAAACTTTTTTATTTTTGAAACCATGTATTATTTAACCTATAGATTCTACAAATCACTTTTCCTGTCATATAGATTTTTTGTTTGTTTCTGAAGCTTTAGTCCCTGTTTTAATCAACAGTACTGAGGCAGTAAAAAGGAGAAAAATCATAGTAATATTCACACACAAGAATATAAAAAACAGAGAGAAAAATTTTACATTTTATATTAAACTAAATTTTCCTAAAGAGATTAGTATTTTGGACTAATTCCTTCTATTTTATGCCCCCACACTAATACATTTCACAATATGTTTATATAATTATAAATTGCCTCTTTTCACTAAACAGTATAGCATGTACATTTCTTCCATGTCTTTAAATACAACCTTTCTTCTCCAGAGCCTCAAGGAGTAGTAAGAAAAAGTCCCTGTACGGCACTCCCTTCTCTATATCTTCACTATGTTCTTAACCTTTGAGCTTTCATTTCTTGTTCTGACAAATGAAGGCATTTGTTTAAACAGCATCATCTATATGATTAAAAATTAGAAGATTAAAAAGAAAATCTCTTTTGATTTAACTCTTCTGATTCAAGTTTTTCTAGAACATGCCAGGCCTATCTTTAAGAAAGCAGACTCTTGCTACTTCTGCCCTGCCACTTAGTAAGCATATCCCACTGAAATTAATTTGATCTTGATAATTTGAGATTTTTACATTTTTCAAGATTACATTTTAGATTTTTCAAGCGATCTTATTTGTGGTTATTACAGATTTATAACCGATTATATATCTTCTCACATATTTAAACTTTGGATTACCATATGAATAAAATTAACTAAATTAAAATTTGGTTTTTGGTTTAGGGAACCAATGAATAAGTGTCTCTTTACAGAGCAAATCTCAAAATCTGAAACCAGTATCTCCAGTTTTCTGTTAAGTATCATTGCTCATTCTTTCCCTGAATAATTTAAGTCCCTCCACCAGCCTAAAAGAAATCTCAATGTGAGAAAATAATGTGACAAAACTATATAAAGATAAAGAGAAAAATCACTAATTATAACCTATTTTATTAATTCTACCATTGAAGCAGAATATGAAGATACTAATTTTGGGAGGGTATTCTTTTAACTGTCCTAATTAATACAATAGACTGTATATTCTTTTCCATACACAGATTTATAGAAACATGATCTTTTACCTTAACTGGGAAGCTACATTTTCCAGTACGAACCCCTTCTTCATCTGTCTGCCACTGATGTGGACGGCTGGCCTCTGGAATATAAACATCTTTCTTTCTCCTAAAACTTTGCCGTAGCTTGTTCATTTTAATTTTTACAACCTGCAGACAGAGTTAAAGAAATATAAAAAAGAAATTATTATCTTCTCACATATTTCAACTTTGGATTACAATACTAATACAAAACTAATGTCCCAAAGTAAAGATTTTGGTTTGGGCGGAAATGAGCAATTAGCACACTTCCTCTTAGAGTAACACTAATCTCAAACAAATCATTTCACGGTGTGGAGACAATTATAATACTAGTCTTGTAAAACAACAATAATCTCTTAGGACTTGAAGGGATGTTATTCTGAGAACTTTCAAGTACTTAAATTGTTAACTCACTGAGTATATCCCTACTGATCTACCTCTCAAATCCATTCTCACTCCTGAAAATGAAAATTTGTACATGTAGGCTAAATTACAGACTGTTAACAATTTCTGAAAACTGTCACTTGGTAGGAAAAAAATTCATTCTGAAACATTAAAATTTGGGGACCTTTTTGGCTTACTATTTGAAGACACTAAGCAAAGCAGGGACTACAATCACCTTTTATAAAAATTTGATTTAGAAAAAGAAAATTTCCTGTAAACATGCTTTAAAGAAAAAGATCTACTAGGATAAAATTATTCTAAAGAAGACATTTCTTGTAAGCAATATGACATCAGAATGTACTTTCATATCTATGATCATTACAGATACAAAAGTAATCCAAGTCTCATTACTAACTCTGTAAATTAAATAGTATTAAACTATAGTCAGTTTTTTATTTTGTTACTGAAAGAGGCACTTCTCTAATGCTTTCAAAGGGGCAGAAGAAATCACAAAACTACAGGGAAGGCAGACCCAACTGATAAGAAACAAGAGAACATTCAAGAACCAATGAATAAACATAATGAATAAGTGTCCCTTTACAAGGCAAATCTTAAAATCTAAAACCCATACCTCCAGTTTTTTGTTAAGGAGCACTGCTCATTCTTTTAAACACCTCAACCAGCCTAAAAGAGATCTTAACTTGAGAAAATGAGTGACAAAGCTACATAAAGGAAACATCCTCTCTGTCAGGCATGTTAAACAGCAAGGGATTGAATATTAATTCCCACATGACACCACTGAAAGACTTGAACATCAAAGTTTGCATTCTGAGGAAAATCATTTTGTATTTTAAAATGCATAATGCGACAGCAGAACTATTATCAAATTAGCTACTTTATACAGACAAGTCAATCTCACCACATATCTTCTCAAAAGGTAAAAATTCTGACAAACGGCAATTAAAAATCTCTGGATTTTCTAAAAATAAATTTATTATTTTTCAATTCAAAACTGACTTACAGAGCATATGAAATAGATATTAAATAATCAAAGAGCTGGACAAAAGGTAGTCCATTCCTCTTCCTTTAAGTAGATCGCTCATTCCTAAACTAAGCTAAATGAGAGTCTACCTTAACTTAAAAGAATTCCATAAGCTTCCTTGATTTATATACATCCTGTTATATACTCTTTCATATTACATTTTAAAAATATACACAAATACAAGAAAATGAAAAGTCCCTATATCACTTGCTCAAGTTGGCACTCTAACAATCTTTAGGCAAAAAGTCTGTATGGGTCCTTTCTTCTTAATTTCTTTCTCTTAGCAAAACACACTACCCTCCTACCCAGTTAGCCAAGCCAGACACCTGAGAGTCATCCCTGCATTCACCCTTTCTCTGACCAGCAAGTCCACTGATTTTACCTCCTTAGTCTATCTTTAATTCATTCCCCAATTACCACCACATTAGTTCTAGTAGCCTTAGACATTTTTGCCTAAATTATTGCAAAGCCTTTCTTTCATTTAATGGTCTCTTTGCCTCCAAGAGAGGTCCATTCCACTCTGTTCTCCTGACTACTGCCAGAGAGCTTTCTAAAACACAAATCTGACCACACAATTACTCTGCTTAAAATCCTTCAATTGCTTAACTTCACTTTCAAGATAAAGTCCAAATTCCTAAGCATGGCAAACACAGCCCTTTTCATCTGGTTTCACTCACCAATCTTTTCTCCAGTCCCCATTCACATGCTAAGCTCCAGCCATAATAAACTACAGTTCTCCAAACAAGGCAGGCCCTCTTTCAGATCTTCTGTATGTGTTCCTCCCTCTGCCTAGAAAGACCTTCCCCTATTTGCTGCTGGTTCAAATCTACTTTTCTTTCTTTCTTTCTTTCTTTCTTTCTTTCTTTCTTTCTTTCTTTCTTTCTTTCTTTCTTTCTTTTCTTTCTTTCCTTTTTTCTTTTCTTCTCTCTTCTTTATTGGTTTTTAGAGAGAGAGGAAGTGAGAGGGAGAGATAGAAACATCAATGAGAGAGAACACCGATTGGCCACCTCCTGCATGACCCCCACTGGGGATTTGGCCCACAACCTGGGCATATGCCCTGACCAGAAATCTAACCAGCAACCTCTTGGTGCGTGGGTCAATGTTCAACCACTAAGCCACACCAGCTGGGCAAATCTACTCATCTTTAAAGAGTCAGTTCAGGAGTCTTCAAGGAAGCTGGGATTTTTTTTCTGGTAAGCCCCTACCTGGCCTGGGTTAGGTCCTTCCATTTCACACGATTCCCATTAACAGCCACTGCTTACTTCTATTACTGTACTCATCAAAACTTATAGTAACTTTCTATTTTCTTAATGGTAGACCATATTTTGTTTAAATAGTACCTACACCTGCATCTTAACACAGTGCCTGTCATATATATGGCATACATAAATTTGAAGAAATTAAAAGATAAAATAGACTCCCATCATATTAGATGATACTTATAGGTAGGATAAATGTAGACCTATTAGACCAGAGAATCATCAGTGTTGGAAGACAATGCAGATCTAATAGTACAGCAACCTCCCACTGACAAAGAAACCACGTTGACAACTTCCCTTAAAGAAAGACATCCACCCTGGCTGGTTTGGCTCAGCGGTTAGAGCATAGGTCCTCGGACCAATGAGTTTCCGGTTCCTTTCCAGTCAAGGGCATGTACCTTGGTTCCAGTTTGTTCCTGGGCCTGGTTGGGGTAATGCAGGAGGCAGCCAGTCAATGTGTCTCTTTCACATCCATGTTTTTCTCCCCCCACCCCCAATCTGAAGATAAACAGAAAAATATCCTCAGGTGAGGATTTAAAAAAGAAAAGAATGACATCCAACCTGTACAGTGCCCCAATTATAATTTCCCAATCATATATATTTTTTTAATCCTCACCTGAAGACATTTTTTTTGCATTTATCTTCAGATAGAGCGAGTGGGGGGGGGAGAGAGAGAGAAAAACATCGATGTGAGAGAGACACATTGAGTGGTTGCCACTCACACAGGGACAAACTGCAACCAAGGTACTTGCCATTAGCAGGAACCAAACCCAGAACTCCCTGGTCTGCAGGCTGACGCTCTAACCGCTGAAGCAAGCCAGCCAGGGACCAATCATATCTTTAAGTATTGCTCTCTTACTCAAATTTCTTTATTTAAGTGCATTGATGTTGCCTCAAATACATTAATTTAGAGTTAAATCATCACCTCTTATGTCCCATCTCTTAAGTCCTCCCTCTCTGACCCAATCTGTTTGGGTCAGTAAGAATTGTTTGAGAACTCATTATGTGCTGGGCCCTACTATTAATGCTGGTGGGTACAGAAATCAATAAGATAACTTGCCTTTAGGTGGCTCCCCCCAATATAAAAGGTTGATTTCTGCGCAATATGTTGACTATAATATCAGCACTATACAGAGTATGCTCTGGAAGCACAGTCTAGGTTCAGGATACATTTACTATAGAGAATATTGTCTAAGTTTTTTTATTTTTATTTTTTTTATTTTGGTTATTCCTCACCCGAGGATATATATATTTTTTTAAGAGAATGGAAGGGAGGGGGAGAAAGAGAGAAAGAGAGAGAAACACTGATGTCAGAGACACATTGATTGGTTGCCTCCTGCATGTGCCCCGATTGGGCCCAGGGATAAAGCCTGCAATCCAGATATGTGCCCTTGACCGGGAATCAAACCCACAACCCTTTGGTGCAAAGACCAATGCTCTAACAATTGAGCCATACCAGCCAGGGCTGCCTGAATTAAGTTTTAAAAGAAGAACAAAAACTAGCCACATACAATAGGGAGTAGGAGGGAAAAGATACTTCAGGTAGAAGCACCGGCATCAACAAAAGCATAGATGCAGGAAATCAAACATAAGATAGCAATGCAAGAGGAGTGCAGAAATTAGGTTGAAGGAGTAGGTAAGGATCAGGTCTTGATTTTTATCCTGTAGACAACCAGAAGCCACTAAAAGTTTTAAAACGCATTAGTGACATGGTCAGAGTTGCAATATAGTTAGATTAATCTGGTGGCAGTATGGAAGGCTTTTAAAATAATCTAGGCAAGTTATGATGACAGGCTGAACTAGAGCAGTGGTGGTGAAAACTTTAGAAAAGAAGAGTAGCAGTGAGAACTGAGTCAAATTCCAGGATGATAAGAATGTAAACCAATCATCAGCTTCCCTGTTTGCTTCAGGAAATTCCTGCCGACTAATTTATCTGGACAAACAATGTGTGTGCATCAGGGCAAACAGCACTCCTAAAAGGACAACAGGTTGTCTCAGGTCCTTTTCTTGTTGTACCTACTAATTCTAAATACTGTGTCACAAACTGCCCATCCCAACCAGTTCTCCACCTTGAAGGACATGCTTTATACCATGTGAGTCCAGATTTTAAGACCCTAGAGAGAAATTCCCTTTCCTAATTTTCCCTACCTACCAGACTCTGTCAAAGTAGTACTCTCCCTTGCTGCAGTCAGTTTAATAAACTCAGCTTTGTTTGGTCAATAGGATTCTTTCTGGAGAAAGTCAATAGCAGGAATTGGAGACTGATTATGAAAGGTGAGGAAGGGGGAGAAATACAAATAATACTCTTAAGTTTTAGTCCTCAGCAAAATGGATAGATGAGTTCAGCAAACTGTTGAATTTGAGGGGCTTAATTATAGAGTTTCCAGTTGGAGATGTGTGTAAGTCTGAAAGAGGTCAGGGCCACCATAGGCAGTCATTATAGG